CCTCTTCTTCTTCTTCTTTCTTCCTAAGGGTTAATGTGAACACTAGTGGATAGACTCCAACTGGCCCTTGCCTGTAATTTCTGGGCTACCAATAGGATTGGAGGGATTAGGATCCTAGCCCAGGACGAAGCTTGACATAGTACTTCAACTGGGTGATTCACATACAGTTATGTATTCCATTGGTAGCCACTGAATACATCACAGGGGAAAAACTGGAGACTTTGGGGGTGGATCCAGGAGGGGGGGGTTGGGGGGGAGGAACTCTGCGTGATCCAATGCCATACAGTCCACCCACCCCCCCAAAGCAGCCATTTTCTCCAGGGAAGCTGATCTCTGTCAACTGGAGATCAGTTGTAAAAGCAGATCTCCAGGCCACTCCTGGAGGCTGGCAACCCCACGTTCCACCTTTCTGGAGTCATTTTGGACCCGCAGGGGTGAATAAAAGTGCGAGAGTTCTGCACTGTCATTTCTAAAACACCGTGCTCCAGTGTCTGCCATGCACCCCACTGTTTTGGATTGTCTTTTGCAGGTCTGTTACTGTTTTGAACGCCCGTTCCGGAGGCATTTGGGCCTGGAAGAGGTTTTAAAAAGTTCTGCACCGCCCTTTCTGAAATATTGCTCTGCAGTGTCTGTGATGCGTGCAATTGTTCTTGCAGGACTATTGCTCGTTCAATGCCAATTCCGGCTTCTCTCCAGTCCCCTGGATCATTCCTGCCTTGCAAGAGAGAAATGACCGACATGAGAGTCAACCTTCCCAGGACTTGCAGCAAAGGCTGGGCCCTTCTGTGCGGGTCTCTAGAACCCTCCCTCTCCTTTCCCCCACTTTAGAAGCAAACCCCCCCCCCCCCCCGCTCGGCCTCTCTAGCCCACAGCTCGGTCCCTTTAACCCTCGCAGCGCTGGACACGAATTAAAGCGCTTCCCGTCCTGTTTCCAGCTACCGCCAGATCCAGGCGGGCGAACCGGTCTCCAGCCAGGCTGCTGCCCCCAGCGACGCCCTCTGCGGCTCGGCGGGGCTCCTCGGGAGTAATCCTGCCCCCCTGGGCGGCCCTCCACGGAGTCCCCTCCCCCGCCTTGTTCTTTGGATCTCTCCTCTCTTGAATCAGGGGATTCTCCCGACTCTCTCTGCATCACCCGCCTTGAGCTGAGTCCCTGCGAGAAAGGTTGACTGCAAGGAACATCAATGAAATACCCATAAAGATTGGCACCTTCAACCTGCCCGCAGGTCCCAGCACAGATCCTTGAAGCACCCCACTTGCAGACACTGCAGCCAGCAATAGAAGGAGGAGGAGGAGGAGGAGGAGGAGATTGGATTTATACCCCACCCTTCACTACCCGAAGGAGTCTCAGAGCGGTTTACAATTTCCTTTCCCTTCCTCTCCCCACAACAGACACCCTGTGAGGTAGGTGGGGCTGAGAGAGCTCTTGACAGAAACTGCTCTTTTTTAAAGGACAGCTCTTGTCAGAACTACTCCTTGCCCAAGGTCATCCAGAAGAAGACGAGATTGGATTTATACCCCGCCCTTCACTACCCAAAAGTGTCTCAGAGCGGCTTACAAACTCCTTTCCCTTCCCCTCCCCACAACAGACACCCTGTGAGGTCGGTGGGGCTGAGAGAGCTCTTGACAGAAACGGCTCTTTTTTCAAGGACAGCTCTTATCAGAGCTACGGCTTGCCCAAGGTCATCCAGCCAGGTGTAAGTGGAGGAGTGGGGAATCAAACCCGGTTCTCCCAGATTAGAGTCCGCGCACTTAACCACGACACCAAACTGGAGGCTTCTTTCGTGAAAGACCTTCACCTGCCCATTTCCACACCGCTGGACTCTCCTGAAAAGGGGGGGGGGAGGTGAGTGTCATGCCTGCCCCTGCTGATGTCATGCCTGCCTTTGCTGATGCCCCTGAACAGGCTCCTGAGGACCCTGAACAGGCTCCTGAGGACAGTACTGCAGCAGAAAGGCAAAGACTGGATCCTGTAGCTGAAAGCTATCTAAGTGGTGAGGAGGATAGAGCCTCCCAGGGAACACCTGCAAGGGATCAGTCTCTGCTGCAGCCCAGTAATTCATCATCAGACTCGCCTCCACCTGTAACCAGGCTCAGGAATGTAAGAAGACAACAGCTGAGAGAGCGAAGGCAGAATGCACGCATGCGTGCCAGAAGATCTCTTAGCCCTGATTACTGACAGGATCCTGTCCTCACTCCTGGCTAGCTAATGAGTTGATTAGCTAGCACTGTATATATGCAAGTCTGTTGCCAGCAGTCATTTGTGCTGGCAACGTCGTTTGTTCAGGACCTGAATCCTTGCATCTCTGCTCCAGACCTTGTGGAATTCTTCTCGGCTTGATCCTCGGCTTTTGACCTTTGGCTTTGTTGACCCTGCGTTCATCTCTGACTCCTCTGGTATTGTTGTGATTTATGGACTTGAAACTTTGGTATGTCTGACCCTGCTTTTGGACTGTGATTTAAACCTGCTTGAACCTTGCTACCTGATTTGCCCGGCTTGACCTCGGACTGTTCCTGGACTTTTGCTTGCTTGTGTCGCGCCCCCTGGTCCTGCCGTGACAGTGAAAGTCGGATCTACATGGTTCCTCATGAATTCATATGATTTTTACATTGAAACGAAATAAAACCACCGTCATACCGTAGACCATGTGTCAGTCTATAGGGAGCCCCACAAAAATCATGCATCCACAGATTCATAGCACCACAGCAGTGCAAAAACATGATTCCAAAGCATGGATCCTCATGAATTCATATGATTTTTTATGCTGAAATGAAATAAAACCAACATCATACAGGGCTTTTTCGGTGGCGGCTCCTACCTGGTGGAATGAGCTCCCGGCGGAGATCCGGGCCCTGCAGGACCTGGTACAGTTCCGCAGTGCCTGTAAGACGGAGCTCTTCCGCCAGGCTTTCGAGTAGGAGCTGCCGCCGCCACCAC